AAGGCTCTACAGTGGGGGGGGCAGCTGCCCCCCCTTGCCCCCCCGTAGATCCGCCCCTGCTCATATCCCTCTATTTCACTTCCTGTTTCAAAAGTGCTGATTTGGGGATTTATGCAGTATGGAGCTCAAAGGCTTTCTCTCTTGCCGGTTATACCACAAGGTGAGTTCCTTTTTTATTTCCTGCTTCTTCACACACATGCTCTATCCAGTACAGGTTAGCTCTGAGTTATTAGTGATGCTAATGTAAACATGCACTGACCATATAGAGTGCCACAGTGACGCGTCCTAAAACCCGGAAGTAAGCTGCTCATGGGTTCCTTCGTCAAAAAGCAATGCAATTTCTCCATAGGATTTGGGAAAATAGCTCGAAATAAGGTCTGTGGTTGACACACATTTAAGAGACGGATCACGTTTTGTTCAGTCGGATAATCTCCCTACTTTTATCATTTTCTAATCGTAAATCTAAGATTTACGATTTGAAAATGATTATTATAATCACTGTGGCACTCTATTACGTCCAAAACAGTCGGGCATTGTTTCTGATAGCAACGTTTCTGATAGGGCCGTGGGTGTAAAGCCAGCCTACATTTCCGATATTAAAAACTGGATTTTCTTATTTCTCAATCATTTCAAAACCACCTATGTGTCATGGTACACCTGCTGTGTTTGTGTTCGTGTCTCTGTTATGCAACAATAGAAGAAGCAACGATGCAAAAAATGTTACATATTTGTTTCCACTTGCATACATTGTGAATACAAGCAGAGCACAGTGCAGATGACATTTGTTCCTTTCTTGTGTTCGACAGTGTCTTCACAAATACATACATGAAGTGTACATCATGTAGGTCTAGATTCTTGTTTGGAGATTATGCTCTTTGTGTAATGTGTACAAAGGTTATCCACTTCATCTGCTCAATTTAGCAGCGATGACATATTGTAAAAACACGTCTCAAGGCGCCTTTTTATGCTGTTTATGGGTTTGTTTCAGGACAAGACGGAAAGAGGTCAGATGGTTCGGGAAACCATCACAGGGCATTCCAGGCATCAGATGACATCTGGGCTTTCGAGAACTCTTTTGTCCCCTTTTAATTCGGCCCCATAGACAGAGCTCTGTTCCCTTCTCTTATCTGATCCCTACGAAGGACGCAGAGTCGGGGTGAAAGTCTGACGGTCCTGAATAAGACACACCAATCACTTCAAATCCAACCACCTCCGCCTCTGAATCAGAAACTGGCTTGAAACCAAGAGACTGATCTACTTTTTGGAAATTCAAAACTACCCACAACAAAGGTCAACCCAACCAAATCTGATCAGACATTTCTGTGCACCATTCATGTATTATCTCCTCAGAGGCGTATCACATGACATAATGCCAAGCAACAGCATCGCTAACATCATTCAATTGACTTTTCAGACGTGTAACCCGGCTCGGCCGTTATCGTCGTGAACGATCTGGGGCTCGGTGGCTAAGAGGCAGTCAAGACATTCTGTGGTTATCTGCTTCGTCTCTCGGACACTTACTGCTTTGTTGGAGCAGAGACTCAGAAGTTGGAAAGTGAGAGGCAAGGTTTGGCATGTCATGTGAAACTGGTTCCCCGGGCATCCTTCTGACCTACAGACTTGGCAGCTGTTAAATACTAAGCTCGGTCCATTGAGGACATGATGAGCTGACATTAACTTAATGCCCCAACCAGGGATCTCTCACAAACTGGGTTGCAGGGTTTAGCTTTTAAAGTGACTGGGTGTTTTATTTGAGCCATCGCACCCTTTTTTTGGTACTAATGAACTTCTAGTTCATATTGCCAGACTTTCTCAGGCAGTGTGGAGTAACTACTGGATCTAAAGGAAAGCAGAGCAAATAGGGAGCAACACTGCTCTCTGTTGCTTCAATGCAATCACAACAGCAGTCGTAGTAAAAGCTGCATTGCATGTAGTCAACCAGCAGATGGCAGGATTTAACAGTGTCTGCAGTTGTGTTCATATGGAATAGAAAGCCTTGAGTACATATAATAAAAATAGCCTACAGTAGAGACACTTTACAGCAAATACAACAGCACAGATTTGTACTAAGCATACAAAGAAAAGTGTTTGAAAAGTGTGGTAGTTCAAACTGTAATGTCAAAACATGTTTGCTGAACAATACACAGGGAAATGGGAAACAGTTTGTGCCGGAAGAGATACCTGTATATTTGACTTCAGTAAATGTAATTCATTCTAAAATTGACGTAACAAAACTGCATTAAACATCCACCAAATCACTGTATGTTGATTTAGCTATTGAAGCTTTTAGATGTTGACATGGTTTGATAATGGCAGAGCTCTGTTTTAAGTTCTGTTAATTAATAATAATAATAATAGCTTCGATTTCTATAGCGCCTTTCAGGGGACCCAAGGTCGCTTCACAAGTAATAGTGCAAAGACAAACATAACAAAACAAAAGACAGACAAACAGAACAACAGATCGATTTAGGGGCCGAAAGCCTTGGCAAACAGATGGGACTTGAGGGCCCTTTTGAAGGCTTCAAGTGTGGGGATGTTGCGTATCTCCGCAGGGAGAGCGTTTCAGAGGGTGGGGGCTGCCACACTGAAGGCTCTGTCCCCGTAGGTTCGCAGTTTGGTGCGGGGGGTGGTAAGCAGGCCAGAGTCTGAGGACCGCAGGTTCCGGGGTGGGGCATGTGGGTGAAGGATGTCCGATAGGTACTGGGGGGCAAGGGCATGGAGGGATTTGTAGGTAAGGAGGAGGATTTTGTAGGATATGCGGGACTTGACCGGCAACCAGTGTAGGTGGATGAGGGTGGGAGTGATGTGCTGCCACGGTTTTGTGTGCGTGAGTACCCTAGCAGCACAGTTTTGGACATACTGGAGCCTGTCCAGGGTTTTGTTGGGAACCCCGAACAGGACACCATTGCAGTAATTGATAAAGAAACTGCAATTGTATTGGTATGTTATTTCTGCAGGAGCTCAGTGGCAAGGTGAAGCAGTAAACTAATAAGGGAGGTTGTTGATTGATGCCTTTTAAACCTACTTGCCAATAAATCAATGCACCGTACCTCCTCCATCTATCACAACCATAATTATTCTCTTGAAAATTGTCATTAGCTTGCATCCCATGCCTGATAGAGTAACCTATGAGATGGAAACATCGATAGAAGAGCATGGAAACACGTAGACCTGTGTGAGGTGTGTAAGTAGAGTCATTCTTGCTTGCTGCTGAGTACTTCTGTATCGATTGCACTTCATGTTAACAATGCACTGTAACATAAATTCAGGATTCTGGATACCACTTCAAAACCATGGTCAGAAACTATCATCAGCAACAAATCCGACTTTAACATCCACACTTTATGTCAAACTTTATTTTGTTAATTGTTTTTTTTGGGAAGTTTAACAGCTCATATTTCTATCTATTATATATTGCTATGAAAACATCTCCTGCACAAACTGTAGTCATCATGTGATTAATACTTTTCTCACCATAACTTCATTGAACTATATTTGATTACATCGTGAATTTTTACTGCAAAGACCATTCTCACCTGCTTACAGCAAACGGATAACATAAACTAACTTACTAGGTTTTGTTGTTCACTAGGTAGCAATATTGGGGGGGAAATAGTGATGCGTTGAGGGTGTGTCATCCCAACAACATATGTTATCGTCCCTGGAGCAACAAGACTACATTAGTTTTGAGTCCTCAGGGTAACGTTAGCCTCCTGCTGTTCTTACTGTCATGTTTGCGTATTTTACCAACGACTTTGTACCAAAGTATCTTTGTAGGTATCACTCTATGTAGCTCTTGTATCTATGTGCAGTAACTATCTTTGCTACTTAGTTTAGTTAGTATGTACTCTAAATGTGGTTTTGCCAAGAAAAGGTAATATTCAGTAACTTTCCTTTCCTCCAAGGACAGAATCTGATCAGTAGTCTTTCATCCTTTGATTGCCTGTTGAGAGAGAGACAGGAAACACTTCTCCCACCCTACCAGTCTTAATGAAGTCATCCAACTACACAGAGCCGGTGTAAGGATCCCCCTGAGCCCCGATGAGTGTATGGATGGCTGCATACCTTTGTACAATGGGCATGAAAAAGAGTAGAACTCCAGAGAGGAAGCCTATTGAAACCCCAGAGGGCCTAGAGAGTGAGCTCTCTGCATTATTATTCCAACAACATGCAATTCGAGTATCTCGGAAAGTGTCACCAAATGGCACTGCTGGGATTTTTCGAACACGAGTTCACACCCCACCAGGAAGGCTGCTAAGCTTGTGCTAATTGAGAGTGTGTAACACAGATGCTCTCCTCCGGGTTAGAGGGAAATGAGTGTAATGACGCAGGCTGTTTCTCACATCTTCAGCAGTCGCATGAGACATGGCTCTCCTTTTGTTGTCCTCTGTGGGGGACATGACACTGAGGCCTACATTTCCATGCATTCGTTTAAGTCTTAATGTACTGTAAAGAGAACATTCTGGACTTTCTAAGGATGTAACACACATCGCGGTGCGGACGTCTTCCATCTTTTTAATTGGGAACTGCAGTGCATAAGTGATCCATCTATAAATATGTATTGTTCCTGCTCCCTTAAAGTATGTTGTTTTTAGTTTTCAGTGTTGGCTATATTATCTTAACATTTTAAAGGTTTACTTCACGCCTTTCATAATGCACATTTTAACCCATGTACTTTGTAGGGGAAAGTTGGAACTCATTGTGACCCATTTTCCATGATCCAGCAATAGAAAATTATTTTAGTTTCCAAAACTCATCAAATGAGAAAGAATATATAAGAAAATGTATTTTATTTGGACCAACTCAATGCAGTTTTTGTGGGAAAGATTGAGCTGATGTCCTCCACAAGGGAAATGATGTAAAACATATGAATAAAATATGATTGATATGATCCCAATTACTTGAACTAAGATTGAAAGAAATGGTAATAATTCAGCTTATTCTATTCACCTTCAGCTCACTGCCTGTCTATCTAGAAGATAAATGATGAGGATAACAGGTGAGTAAACAGATGAATTAGAATTTTATTAGCATCAAAGTCATCAACTCAGTACAATGAGTACGGTACAGAGCTCACAGATGCAGGATAGGACTTGCAGGTGACCGCCGGTCCTGGCAAACATCACATCTACAAATACACCTGTAAGTGCGTGGCGAAATGAACATGGTTTTTAATAAATACAGTGAGAAAAGAAAGCATTGCTTTAAACTGTGTTACAGTGTTCAAACAGTATTTATTTGCCATCTAAACAAAGAGAACGGACTACATGATATAATTTATTCACATACAAATCAGATATTTTGTCTCTCGTTAAAATCTAAATATTTATCTTCAACAATGTAAGAAATAATGTAGCGATATAATCTGAATGATTGGCATTTCTACCAATCTATAGAGCAAATGAAAGAGATAACATAAATAAAAGGCTCTGCGCTGAACAGAGTCAAACCTTAGATTCTACGGATTATAAATATCTTCATTTTTATAAGAAATGCACATTTTAATATAACTTCACAGGTGTTTACAGTCAACAACAGATTGGGTGGATTAAGACAGTGGCCGTGCACGAGCCCGAAACATATTTAATTTTTTGACCTTTTTTACAGCTGTCTTTTTGTGACCAGGGAATGAAAACCCCATGGTTCAGTGTGTGAGTCCCCACATTAGTCTCGCGCTAACACACACACTGAACCACCACTTATCTGACAGCAGCAGACATGCGTTAGTTAGGCGGCCATGATGGGCCTGACAGCCGGCAAAGGACTATAGACTTTTACTTACAGGGACATGGACTGTATCGAAAGGACACCAGGAATCACAGTTTCTGCAGCCATTCGAATATTGCTCAATTTCCTCTAGAGTGATTACAGAGAACTCTTTTTCTGCAGCTCATTATTTATACTCGAGGGGACCAGCGACAAGAAAGGAAATATTGTTATTACTGTTAATCAAGTATAAGGAGAAACATCTATGGAACAAACATGAATGAAAGAGCTATAAAAAAAAAAGAAAGCAATAAAGATATGGCATTTAAAAAAACTGTTCAGAAATGTGAAACATATGATTCATAATTATTTCAGTACAATACAGGTCAGCAAAGATGGTGAGTTGACCCTTAAGTTACCACAAATCTAAAATGATGCATGTTTTTCCTTAAAAGCTGCATGTGGTCATTCAATGCACACTTTGCTTTACAGTTACAACCAAATATTAAGACATGTGTGGCGCCGTTAGTCAGTGTCTAATCACAAAGGACACAATCAAATACAAAGTACATACAAGTAAACTGAGATCTAGCAAAGAAAAATACATTTTTAGTCGCGTGATGAAGAACGATGTCATGACGTTTCTAAAAAAGGAAAAGCTACAAATTAATTTGGATGCATAGAACTGCTATGTAATGTTTCATTCTACTAACATTGACAACAGGGGGTGCTAAATGAACAGTGGTGACAGACAACATAATATATAGTGTGCTTTTTAAAGTAGCCTCTGCATGGCTTGTGGCAAAAGGCGTGGGTGCTCTGGCCTGCGATACATTTGGCGGCAGCGCATCTTTAACCACCAAGTGGCTGTACATGTGAAATGAAACAGCAAAGAAGTGAGAATGCATGCTGTTTTGGCTACTTCTACAAAGGTCTCTATATACAGAATCTTTACACTTACAGCTATGAGGTTCTTTCCTGAGCAGGAAGTAAGCAAAGGAACATAGTGTTTTCGTGTGTGCTTATGTGAGAAGCTGCCTAGTTCAAAATACAATACCGGGCATAATAACTCCTAGTCACCAATCCCAGCATTGTTTGACGCACAATAACTGGTTAGTGTGGACAATAACAGATAGGAAAGATTACCATATTCCCCTGTGACAGGAATATGTGATCTTCTCCATGCGAGAGGACCAGCACTTACTGAGTATCAAGTACACTGAGTATCACGGTACAAGGTCAACATTTCCGAAGCAAAACTTTTCTACTGATTCTAAGAACAAATACTGTAATTGCAAGACTGGCGCAGAGAAGTTTCCCAAGTCGGCTCATTAAAAAGGAATCAAAGCCGTATTCAGCACAATTATGCCTTTCCTATATTCTCTTATCTCTTAAGAGAGGAATAAGAAAGAAGACTTTAGCTGTAAGACGCAGCTTGACGGCAAATCTGTTTCTGCCCCTAAAACTCATGTGTGGGGAGATAGAAGTGTTTAATTTAATCTGAAGTAAAATACCGGAGGGGGTCATTGAAAAAAAGACACAATAAGTGTAAAAAGAAAGCGGCACTCGGGGAAAGGTAGCACACAGCCTCCATGAGATGATATTAATGCTGCAAGTGAGGGAGAAGCAGAGTCAGTATCACCATGCTAGCAGCTAATGTACAGTGGTGGGGACTGCAAAGGTCACATAGGAAGGGGTGGGGATTCGCAGTGGGGGGGGGGGGTCTCTAACCCTGCTCGTCCCCGCCTTCGGTGGCTGTGTTGAGAGCAGCTTCTCCATTACAGCGCGATGTCGGCTCGGCCTCCTGCGGCGCCGGCCTCGGCTGCTGCGGCTCCCCGTCTGAGGCGGCCTCCTCCGGCGCAGGTTGGCTTATCTCCGCCCCAGCAGGGAGCTCTGTGACGACAGCAGTCGCTCCCTCGGGGGGTGCTGCAGCGGCTGGAGCAGCAGAGGGGTTGCTGGCAGGTTGGGGAGCAGCAGATGGGTCGCTGGCAGGTTGGGGAGCAGCGGCGGTGTCTGGAGGGGCAGCAGCAGAGGGGCTGGCGGCCCTCAAGTCGCTCTGCTCAGGTGCTCTCAGCCTCTTCATGATGGTGGTGACACGCACTGCTTTCTGTTGAGGGAGAACAAACCACGTTCAAATATGTGACGTTTTGTTTTTTGTTTTTCAACCATTTTACTCTTGTTTGAAAATTAAAAGTGCGCTTATAAATCAAATTGATTATTATTATGTAACCTGAAAAATCAGCATGGAGTACAGCAACTCTTGTATACCCACACAGCAGCGTTAAAAAAATCTTCCAACGCTTCTGCCCATTCACTTTGAATGGGGTGACGTCACTTTGCCTCACTGTTCGCCGAACTGCATTGTGGGAAGCAAAGCGGAGATTTCCAGGCATCTCAGGATTCAAAAGTTGAGCAATGTTCAACTTTTGAATCTTCTGAATCTTTCGGTGGAAGCGTCAGCCAATCAAATCATATGCCAGTAGAAGCTCTAGCCAATCAAACTGCTGCTTGTGTGTCAGGGGCGGGAGATTCATGTGATTGGTTGTTGGTCGAGCTTCAGACACGCCCGCCGGCAAGCTTTTTCCAAAGCCGCTGTGTGGACGTATCGTTATGACCACATAATCAAGTGTTTCTGAGCACCAGCGCCTCTTTTCAATTGTTTTGAAAAAAGAGAAGTGAGCACTTGTGGCAGCCTTGTGAAAAAAACGTGGCATCGAGCTTCTTTTACTGATCTTTCTGCTGTATTTGTGCTGCAACTCCAAGCACTTTGATGTCTAATATTTCGTGACGTCATTATAGAAATTGCAGTGTCTTGAAAACTATCATAACAAAAACCAAAAAGCCTGTTTGTTTGAGCAGATTAGCCGAGCAGACCCTGCATGGTGCTGCCTGAGTGTGTGACTTTTAACGTCGTACTTGGATCGCCTGATTGGTGCTCATATTAGCCCAAATAGTTAAATAGAAAAAATGGCAAAGATAGAAACAATTCAAAAAGCTCTGTGACGGTTTTTCTGATGAAACGCCAGTAGGAGCAGCGACTTACCTTCCATTTAGCCCTGGCAAAGTTCTTCTCTATTTGTGCACACACGTTTTCCTTGATGTTCTTATCTGAAGCCGCACCGCCAGAGATCCTGTTGGGAGCAAGCACAACTTTACTTTATATCCTATCCTTAGATGCCCCTGGCTGCAGCACAGTATTACTCTATTTGTTTTTTGTTGACTCTTGAACCTTTTAAGGATTATTCCAACTGAGACATTTTCTCCTTGTCTTTGTGCTTGTTACAAATCGATTGGTGTCCACAATTTATACTTAGCTGGAACTGCCTCTGTCAGACACGTCTAAGTGATTGATGAAAGTATTTCATGCAAGCATTTTAACCCAATAATACTTGGTTTAGTAACTACCAAAACTTTACAATACCATAATATATCATGAAAATGTGAAAACACTGTGACAAAGGGAAAAGGGCTTGCTTGAAATGATCTGCCGACAGAGAATGATCAGTTGAATCCTCAGATTCCCTCGGGTTAACAGAGCTTTATAGCCAGTACCATCAATAGGCAGCTGTTTTCAGCCAAAGTGAAGTGAGGGGGGAAGGGGGGTGTCCGGTGCCTTGTTCAAGGGCACCACGGCAGGGCAGGAGGTGAACTGGGACCTCTCCAAGTAGCAGTCCACACTCCATATTTAGAACCGGCAACCCTACGGCTCACAGTCCAAGCCCCTACTGACTGAGCCACTGCCGGATATTAAACGCTCTATAAACCCACGGTACACCACCTGTCAGCTGCAAACTGCTGACAGACAGTTCTAGCTGGTGAACTGAGTGGAGCATTAAGCCGCTAAAGAGACAAATATTTCTCTCAGGAGTTGGTATGGACCAAAGACTGAGCCAAAAGAGATGAATACTGGGCTCACATTTCTCAGGTGGCCATAAATCATAGAGTAGTGTATAAAATAAGTGGATTTAGTCTCCATGTCTGAAAAGTGAAGCCAATTTGGATGGGCCTTAAACCTGCATTATTTGTAATGGCCAGAAGGTGTGATTCTATTGGTTGCAAGTCTGATTCTATAGAAGTCTATGAGAAAATAACATTTTCCTGACCTGTCAATCAGTATCAAGATGTAGCAATGTGTTAGGGTTAGGTTTATGACACTATAGGAATGTCATATTGGATATTCTGTCATAAATAAAAGTAGTGGACACAAGTGAACTTCTGCCCTGATGATGGCGCTAGGTAAAAGGTATGATCTTTTTTTTAACATCATTTAATTTGATTACTAATGCCCCTATTGGCAAACGTGAATTTCTGTACCAAATCTAATGGCTCTGACTCTGCAGTCATTGGAGTCATTGGATCACCAAAATCAGTAGAGTACATTGCCTGGGAAACATGAGTCTCCGTGCTTAACTTTTTGCTTATCCCTCCAATATTTGATTCAGATTTTCCAGACATTTCTATATTTAGAGACTTACTGCTTTGGTTTATTGTTGAGTAAAACATCAATATCGTTTCGGTGGTAACTTGCAGCTTAATCAATGCTGTTCTCGTTAGTGATAAACCTTTTTTAGGGTGAAGTAATTCTTTATGTTATTGTAAGAGACACATGAAACAAGAAGGAAAGTCTGTCTTTTCAGCTGTTCTGATCACATAACAGTGTGATGAAACTCCTTGGGTTTAAATGGTCTACACAATACATCAAAGCTCTTGTGCCTACCATTCATGGTTTATAGCCTCCTGGGCTGTCAGTCTCTGGTCTTGATCCACTTCCATCAAACGAGCAACCAGACTTTTAGCTGTCAGAGAGAAAACACAGAAAAACTCAACAAAAAGGGATTGTTTTCCTTGAGGACAGAAACATGACGTGTTTGGCCACTCTAGGGGAAAGAAAGGAAGAACAGTATTTGGATTTTGAAAGGGCTGGCATTGTGTTTCTTTACAGTGTTAACTTTGTCCTAAAAGCACCTGAATCTGAGATTTCATCCCAGTACGGAGAGTCAAACTCATAATCGCCGGCCAGGATCTTTCGGAACAGGTTCTTGTCGTGGTTTTCAAAATCATCGTCGTCAGTTTCATCGTAGAAAGGAGGGTTGCCTGACAGTCTTGGCAGAGAGAAAAGCAGAAACATACAAGGCCTGTAACAGTATGTTATATTACATGAACATGTTACACTCCTAGACATTGAAACTGCATTTTTTCTACTACTTTTCATTCAGGTTATTCATTGTATTTTTTTTCTGGATTGCTTATTTTGAAGCATAACAAAAGTAGTTCTAATCTACCAATGCAGTCCTGATTCAAACCAAAAGTCAACAGATTTTTTGCGAACCCATGGTCTTTTAGAAACTAACTAAGAACTTTTGTTGTCTTAGTGTAAGCCAGCGGTTTTCAAAGTGTAGGCGTGCCTCCCCGGGGGGGCACCAGAGAGCTTCAGGGGAGGGGCAGCGTGAGAAAGAAATTACGAGAAACAGTCAAATCTAGCTAGTTAACTTTATGCGAGTGGCAACATGGATCGATTTTTAGTGAAGTTACCTAAAGTGTGAGAGGAGACAGCGTCTGGCAGAAAATGGAGGAAGTATGACCACGATTATTTGAATCTAGGATTTTCATGGACCGGTCCTGGCAGGGGCGGACTGGCCATCTGTGTGTTCTGGAGAATCACAGAACGGCCGGTCGTCAGCGGGCCGTTGACGGCCGGCTCGGTTTGCTGACGACCGGCACCGCCCTTTATTACTATATATTACTTTGATCAAAAGCAAGTACCGGTCAAGGCTTCAGCCAGAGGATGATCTATTCCTGTCTACATTGCATCCCCGCATCATCCGCCTGTGCGCATCAAAGACGCAGACTCATTGTTCCCACTAAAGTAGGGGTGAGTGTAATAAGGAGGCAAAGTTGACGTTCAGTGTGTTGCATATAAGGATTTATCCACGATGTTGAAAATGTTAAAAAAAAATGTATGACATAAAGACAAAAAGGTTTAAAAAAGTGATTGTTTAATGTTTAGGAGCTGACGCTACTCAGCCAATCAAATCGGTGCAGTCGTGTGGTGCAGTGGGTTGTGCGTTGGTGTTCGGATCAGGGGAGCACAGGTTCAAACCCCACTGCAGTCAGCATGTCGTTGTGTCCCTGAGACACTTCATCCCAAATTGCTCCTGTGGGGATTGCCCACAGTATGTAAGTCGCTTTGGATAAAAGCGTCTAACAAGTAACATGTAATGTAATAGCAATATTAATTGGGAAGGGGGGGCGCGGCTGTTCTTATGTTCTCTGAGGGGAGGCTCACCTTCCCACACTTTCAAAACCCCTGGTGTAACCAATTCAATTTACAATGGTAACTATTTCTTCTATTTCTTCTATTGTATTCCTTGTTGTTAAATACCAATCATGTGCAATATGTGCAATATATATGTATTCCGTGAATAACTGCAATATGGCTGCTACATATTCAGAACTGTTACAGGCTGTGTATTTTGTAAATTGTGTAATTCCTTTAAAAAAAAAAATCTTTTAGTTTTTTATGCAAACATTAAGCTGTCTTTTGCTCTTTTCTGCTGTAACAAATGTACATGTCCCCTCTCTGGGACGAATAAAGGTATTCTGATTCTGAAAACTGAGACTGTAATCTTGGAGAATATGGATGTACCTTGATTTGTAATTTCGAATGCAGTTGGGGTTAGGGTCAACCAATCTGAATTTGGTTGGCTTTTTAAATGAGGTGTAGATGTTCTTTAGGTTTTATGTCACAACTCACAGGATGTACATGATGACACCTGTTGCCCAGCAGTCCACAGGTTGGCCATACCGCTGTCTGCCGACCACTTCTGGAGCTGCATGAGAGTACAGAAACATCTTTTACATCTCTGAAAGCTTCAACAGGCTGCCAGATCACATTATCCACAAACTGGTATTTGATACTTGGTGTGTTTCCATTCTCACCCAGGTACTCTGGTGTCCCGCAGGGGTCTTTGATGAGTCCGTTCTCCAGCTTGGCAAGATGGAAGTCACTGATGACTATTTTAGAGTGCTTCAGGCGATTGAAGTACACCAAGTTCTCCAACTACAGAAAAAGCACATTTCAATGTCAATGCTTTATGTAATATTCATCAATAAGCTCTTTTATTTTCATGGTTTTGATCTAGTGACAATTAGGAGGTGGGAATTCAGTTTTTCGATAATTGTCTGAGAGTTTAATTATTCAGTGCAGATTAAAATAAATGTTTAAAGTTTAAATTTGGGATTTTATTATGATTGGACTGAAGCTAAATGCCTCAACCAATTGTATTGTATAGCCATTACAAAATGCATGGATGGTTTAAACGTACAGTCTCAGAGGGTCATTCAAGAGGTTATGAGGTGGAAAACCTCATTGAACTTTTGCCTTCAATTGTAATCATATTTAAACCGTCTTCTTCATCTTGAACTCCTTTATCGTCTTTAATCAAGCGCACTTTCTGTTCTTGTGTGGCTGGTTAGCATTTTGATCACTTTTAAGCATTTTGGGGTAAAAAGAGATTAAAAGATGAAATTCTTGGACAACATTACAGCTGTATTTCTTGGTTTAACAGTAAGATGCCTCCTCAGTGATGGCGTCCTGTAGCGTGTTACCTTGAGGTTTCTGTGGACGATGTGCAGGGAGTGGAGGTAGGCCACGGCCTCCAGCACCTGGCGCACCACGTTGCTGGTGTCTCGCTCTGAGTAGTAGCCTTGGTCCAGGATCCAGTCGAATACCTCTCTGCCCGTTGCACTGTGGGTACAAGAAGGCAGCGAAGAGATGCGTTACATGTTTGCTGTCATCATTGGAAGATTTGTACACAACTGCAATGCCATCAGATTAAAGCAGATGTTTCTGTTATCCCCCATTCTCTTTAAATGTTTCCATCTGCTCTCTAGCTATTTGGAAAGGGCCCCTAAAAATGCAAATGAGGGAAAAATAAACGCTGGTGATATTTTTTATCTGATTAGAATGGTTTACTTAAAGGGGACCTATCATGCAAAATGCACTTTTGTACGTCTTTTATACATGAATATGTGTCCCCCCCGGTGTGTCAGGGAACTCACCAAGTGTCAGAAAACACAACCCTCTCTCTTTTCCTCCGTACCCAAATCTCTAAAAACGGGGCTGCAACGGATCTGATACAGACCGATACAGATTTGAAAATAGCCTGACGTCAGTGACGAGGAGCTCCGCCTATATGGCCAACTCTCCACCAATCAGGGAGAGAGGTTGCCGTGGCATGGTAACAGCATGGTAACAGCATGGTAACAGCATGGTAACAGCATGGTAACAGCATGGTAACAGCATGGTAACAGCATGGTAACAGCATGGTAACATGACGCTCGTAACTCGCCCCTCCTTTGCAGGGGGGCGTGGTCAGCTGCAGCGCATGCAAAGACAGGGAGAGGAAAATAGAGCAAAATGAGGCATGGCTAAAATGCTGTTTGGTATTTTGAAAAAAAAAACGTATAAATATACCTTATATAGGTATGGCCCTCCAATATATTATTCATATAGCATGATAGGCCTTCTTTAAGAACAGATGAATAACAGTTTTGCATGTATTGTCTTTCTAAAATCATTTCATCTATGAAAACAGGTTAAAAAAAAGTTTGGGCAACTGAATTATATTTTCTTTCAGGAAATGTTTTGTTTTATTTGTTTTTGACATTCTTGGCTGAACTGCACCACTACTTAGTTTCCTAAATACTGTAGGAACAAAAATGATTATATGTTTTACCTACCAGGTGAGTTTGAATGCCTTTGTGTACACTTTACACAAAGAACATAGTGTTTGCAAATTATGTAACAATACTTTCATTAGGACTGATTAGTTCACTCCTTTTCTTTCCCCACTAGAAATGTAATGTTATCTGCTCTTATCTGTCACTCAAAGTCCTATTTAATCGATGGGTTAGTGGTGCACTTCAGCCTTTTGCCAAAATGAATATAACAACAAACAAAATCACCTGCCAAAACTAATTACCTTAACATGTTTCCACAAGTGAGAACAATTTATTATATCCTGTAAAATCATTCTGGCAGAATCTTTGACTTGATGGGGTATAACCGTTTTCCCCAGTAGAAAAACTAATTTAAGACACTTGGAGTTTCCTGGTAAAACCTTTTTTTTCAGCTGTTTTAATTGTAATAGATTTGAATTCCATTAAATATGCTTCATACAGGTATTTAATATACTTTATTGTGAGTCTCCTTGGATCAAGCTAAATGAAGCATAATATAATAATAATAATAAAAGCAGAAGAATAAAATATTGATTTCATTTTTCTTCCTCTCTTGCCTTTCAGGGCTTCTGTCATTCAGGCAGACACACAGAAACAGATCTGGTAATATAAAAACCTCTCCAATTTCACATTGTATATTTATAGTAAAATGTTAATTGCATACTTCCAGGAATAACATTTTGAAAAATGTACACGAAACACCACACCTACAGTATTAAAGGGAAATGGTTTTAATCATCTCCCCGTAGGGTTGCTTTGTGTTTGATCATTTTCTTCTGAATCTACAAATCAAATGTCCTCGAAGGACGAGACGAGTATCTCGCATTAAGTATATCCATGGAAATCAAAACCCCCAAGAACACTTGCTGGTGAGAATGTAGCAGGTAGCACAGCGATCGTATCTGAATACCAAATGAGTGGAGTTCAGCGCTGTTCTCCTATCTGCAGGGCCTCGGGCTACACAGCTCATTCCCCATGAGTTTACCAGCAACACGTACAGTTCAGCAGGCCCGAGATACAGCAAAGACAGCGGAGAACCTTTCCCCTGGCTAATAAGACATCTGACTCACAGTTCAAGAAAGAGGAAGTACTCTTTTTTGGTCTCGAACACATCCACCAGTGCGAGAATGTTTGGATGCTTCACCCTGAGGAGATGTGTCACAAAGACGGAGAGAGAAACAAAGAGAGAGAGAATGATGTCAGCATCAGTCGTTCAGTGGAGGGAATAATGTGAAGACCTGCTTTAATGCACATACATAATAAACGACAGTCCTCACGGAGAGAGGGAGCACGGGTCAGTTTGATTTCACAACACAGATCTATATGCTCAAATGTGCATCCATAGATAACCAGATGTATGTCATGTGATGCGTTCATGTGGGCATAAAGACAGCCATGGAGCTGAACAGCTGATCACGCCTTTCACAAACACAGCACCAGCTGGGAACATTAAGAATTCATTTGGTCCAAAAGGGAAAAAAACAAACAATTGATCACGCAGGAAGTTTGTGAAAGGCTCCTGTTTCTTCAAGGTTATTCTTTAAAAGAAATCAAAATGGTGAAAAAGCGGTGTCTGAAATTGCCTCCTTATTCATACAAGAGTCAGTGTGTGACTTTGTGAATGGAGTATTCACTTTGTGAGACCTTTGTGCGTCACTATCTATTTGCGTCATGACTGTCAGGTGCAGTGTCTAACTGTCCGTTACATCAGCAGCAAGGGAAGAAGATTTTAGCAAATGGTATGAAATGAGCATTTTTCCCACATCTTGAAGTCAATTATTTTGTTGAATGTGTTTGTGCTTGGATAAAATAAGGTCTGTGGTAAACACAAGCTTAAGAGAATTTCTTGTTTTGTTCTATGACACAAAATACTTCAGTAAATACTCCATGCCTGAATGTCTGAAGCTTCTATCTGTTCCGTAAATGTTTTTCATTCAACAGCAGAATAGCTTTGCGTGATCCTTTGTAGAAGTCCTGTATATAGATAACTACAAGAGCCACACATAATGTAGGCTAAGGACATCTCATATCTGTACTACGTAACACCAAAACCATTTTTTCACAATGATCTGTAATATTTTATTCGGCTGATCAAAACTTGGGTTAAGTCCAATTTCTGGCCCAAACAGGATTTGTGTTTGAGGACAATTTTGGGAAACTATATTCAATGTCATTACAACTCTCGCCTGTGAAGCAACCAAACTGTCAGTACAAAGATATGTCAGTGTGCAGGGTCCATTCTTTCATTTGAACGAATAACACTAAAAAAAAAGTATGAATATTTTTCTTTTTTAATGCCTAAATCAAAGCGTTATAAATTCAAGACTAGTTTAATGTTTTGCCAGCAATTATTCCCCTCCGTTGACAGTGTCATCATATTCGATTATTTCCTCAAACCCCCATGATGTTATGGAGATAAAAGCAGGAGCAATGGTGTGATTTTCAGAGGAGTATGAGTTCATGTTTTGAATATAAAGAAATCACTCTTTCGTATGCATCTTGCTTCGCCTGCTGTCGGCGGCAAATAGTTTGATAAGGCTTGGGTTATGCTAATGTATGTTTAACCTGAAGTTTGATAAGAAAGAGAATTGTGTGTGTGATCACTCAGCAAAATGAGGTTCGCTTGACTTTTCTCATTAAAGCAAGCACCTACATTTGTTTTCTCTTTGTGATTTCCTTTTAGAAGATTGAGTATTAAAGAAGATGAAAAAAGCAGAGACCTTCACCATCTCATGACTAAACTAATCATGCATATATAACACAGAAATCCACAATGAATAACTTACATCTTTAGGATGAGGATCTCATTTTTCGCAGCCTTGCGGACTTTCCTCCCGTCCTTTTTCAGGAACTTTTTACATGTAAACATTTTAACCGTATTTTTGTCCTTGGCTCTGAATATCTCACAGAACTCCTCCCTGAGAAATGAGCATATTGAGGTGAAATTACTTTGAGTAACACACATATTACAATGGTTTGGATCAGAGATAACGAAGAAGTTACTCACGATTTAACGATCTGACCCAAGTCATATTTATCCGTCACCTCCGAAGGATTGTTATAATCCTTCTTTTCCCCGATTGTTAAACAGCCAAATGGCATGGCCACTCCTGACCTGGGGGGAGAAAAACAGAAAAGGGAGAGAAGAAATAAAGTTCTTAATCAGAAATATGAATTTACCCTGGAGGGGAATTGGGTTTTGTGACAGTTGTTCCATTTTAGAATAAAGGATTAATAAAATAAAATAGAATACATGTGAAAAAACATGTCAAAATAAGATATAAGCTAAATAAATGTAAGTAAAAATGTAAAATAAAGGATAATTAAAACATTATATAAACATGAGAACAACACATTCGTCAGTCCATCAGGGTGTAATGTCTTTTCTTTTTATAGATGTTCGGATAAACTTGATGTCACAGCACTGTGTCACAATATTACACTGTAGATCATGACTTGGCAAAAAGACTTGGCACTAAGAATAACTGCTGACATAGCCTTTGAAAAGTGAGAGCGAAAGAGCCACCAGAGGCAGTCTCTGTATTGTAACGGAGCCTTTCATGATCCTGCATTAATTAAGGCCAGGCTCAGTTTTATGCTAATATCCACCGCGTGTAATAAAACAGCGAAGGGAATGTTTTTGCCGTGAAGTCTGGACTGTGTGTTCCTGTGTGTCTCTGTGGGGTGATCGCTGCAGACCACAGGGGTCAGGGAGCAGAGAGAGAAACGGCTAAAACAGACGGAGACCCAGCAACAAGTGAAGCATTTCCCATCAGCAATGGGAGGCAGCGATTACAGCACCCTGAACTCTGAGAGGATTTACTGGAAAGTACTCTACTGGCTCTGCATCAACACTTGAACACCTAATTGCGCCGCAGCCTCCCTGTGCCTCTCACAAATAGCTCCGAGCGAAATCTGAGAGCAGCAGCTTTACTGCAGGTTTCTCTGTAGTTTTACTGAGAGTAAAATGTGTTATAGTCAGCGTGAGTTGTTATTTTTGTGTTTCAAGGGAAGAGAAGAAAATAGAGCAAATTAGCAGTTTTTGGAAGTGTGCTACAGTAAAATAATAATGGTCACCTACAGTTAAGGCGTGTGTGCATTGGTTGGTTGGTAAAGAGGTACACTTGCAGCTTGGCCGCTATAAATCAATGAATTTATTCGATTTTTTGAGTTGCATCACCAGCGACAAACAGCCTGATGCCTGAATGTCTGATATGTGTTCCATTCACATTTTCATGAAGGAAAACTTGGGATTCAATTTGAGATAATATTGTTTTTTGTGTGTGCGCAATGGAAGTGTGGTTGCTAGATAGGGAATGTGCTGGATAAGTGTAAATAGAATCTGGTATGTGCTCAACCGACATAATTTATGTTTTTGAGGTTGACATTTGCTGGAGAATTGAAACACGTCCTCATACCTGAATGACAAAGCCAGCCACTTGCTAATGGAATAACCACTTAAAACATTGTGAAACGTTTGCAGAATGTCAACAAATAAAAATGTAGCTCCCTCTTGAACCTATGTAACACAGTACAGGAAATCGAAGCATAAAATGGCCTCTTTAACGCTGTGAAACTTAATTCATATATACTGTACACGCCGCTTGATTCGGATTCACTCCAAAATGTAAGGGGTTCTTTTGTGGTCTATGCTGCACTCTTCCACTCATTTTCTTTCAAATGGAGGCTGTAGTAGCAGTAGTAGGGATAAAACTCAACAAATCTACACTACCATTACTGACTGGATATTCTGTAAGTTATGCTGCTTGGAGCCAAAGCACAGCAGCAGTGTTGAAAAATGATTCCGTAGCCAAATGTATCTATAAAGCGTGAAAAACACTTTTTTCCCAGCCACACAAGCATCCATCTGCACCAACAGTCCGGGTGATGGATGCCCACATGTAAATGCGAGCAGGCAGCATAAGAAGTCAAGCATCATGTGAAAAGAAGGGCAATCTGTTCTCTGTAGCTCCACCAACCGACTTGTAATCCAATCTAAATGAAGGAGATGCAGCGTCGAGACGCCTCAAATTGCCGAAGGAAAGCTGTGCTCTCTGTGAACTTCCTGCACTCCTCAGAGTCTGCGTTGTGTAGTCGATGCGAGGGCCTGACCTTTCCTGGCTGACTAGGATTCTTTCACTTTTGATAATACCGTACCATCTCTCCGTGGTAAAGGCTTTGGCTCAGTGAAGAAATGCTGCAGACAAGAGAGCGGAGTTCTGCAGGGCCAGTGGATTAAATGGATGTTATTCTGTCTGGCGGAAGCAAAGCATTAGCAAGCATGTCAGGAAGAAAAATCTATATTACGCAAGAAAAAAAAACGTTTCTATTCTGCAAGCAGCTATAACGGTCCAGAGGGGTTGCATTGTGGAGATAATGAAATCTAAGAAGTCTGAAAAAAAGCACATTCAGTGGAGACTTGTTTTTCAGGTTCATGTACTGGAAATGACTCTAACTCACTGAGACTATGCAGACATTCAGAGAGACCAAAGGATTAGCTCAATATATCGGTTTCAATTGCTCTTGTTTTTTTTAAAAGAAGTTACACGAAGCCCATGTCTATATTGCATTTTTTGAACATACTGTAATCTTCTTACAGCACTTTTTTATTTGAGTTATAAGCACTCATAAACATGTGTAATGTATTACAAAAATATCCAGTGAGTGGGCGATTCATTAATAATAAGTTGGGAAACATAAAGACTTTAAATACTTGCATGTATGGAAGCTAAAAGGCTAATGGCTAAAAGTTACTGGATGGAGGAGAAGGTACAATTGCGCATTTCTACAAAAGCAACAGTCAACGGACTATTATATCCCTGATTGCACAACAAAACATACAAATACATGTACATTATATAAAGTGGCTGACCTCCGGGTCCCAAAAAAGCAAGCTAGTGTGCAGGGAAATGTTTACTGTTATCAGTCCCAGACTTATCATAATCTATTGTGTGATATTGCTTAATTATACAGTAAAGTGCTATAATGACACATTATACTGTAGGTATGGACTCCATAGCAAGTGTTACCAAACGTGTGACTTACTGTAAAGAGCGAAGAGAATCCTTTGGAGAGGAGAGAGGATGCTTGTGGTATCGTATAACTGAGGCTGCATAATGGGCCCATTTGGACGGAGCACCATCAGCAGCATTCAGACATTATCACCCCATATTCTGACTGTTATCTGCACTGCAAGAGCACCAATCGATGGCCTGCGATGCTTTATAGCCCAGTATGTGATCTGCTGGGCTGGGCCACCCTGCTATATCTCCCCTGATTTACTGCAGTGAAGATTTAGAGAAAGAAAGATGGAGAGTGATAAAGACCTTGGGACTATTAGACGGAATGCACTTTCTCCTCCAGCTAGGCGAGGCAATGGGTAAATTACGTTTTCCTCGTGAAATCGATGGGAAAGTCTTGTAGTGCTCGAGTCTGGGCGAAGTTTAGGATTAGGCTAAATGCAGCGCTGAAGTGCATTGTGTCACGACTTTTTAATGCAGCAGTAAGAAGGATGATTTGACCTGCTGCTTTGGTATAATGCTGGGCGACGCCTCGGAAAAAGGACGATACCTGTTTGGTATGTTAAGCCTTTAGACACTTGACTGAGCATTCCCTGAAAAGATGGAGAAATGGTTCCTTGTTTCTTGGAAATCCTATATTTACTATCTTTCGTTCACCCTGTTCCCCATGCCCCCCCCCCCCCCCCCCCCCCCCCCCCCCCCCCCCTCTGGCTCGTACAGCAGCCACTTAATGAGGATGCACAGGAGATCAGAGCCCATGCATCACACTTGTGCTGACTGGAGGCCAGAACAGATTTACTGAAGTGAAGCTAAACAGTGCTGAGCCTCGCCAGCTATGTACAATCTATATTTTACGTATACAACATTCAGCTATAGCCAAGATGAAAAATATGATCAAATAAAACACGCCATTGAGATTGTATATCATTTTGATGGATGATCTGTTTTCACTACACCTTCCTTATCCCACAGCACCATAAACTGAAAACAGATCAAACTAGAAGCGCTCTCAGAGTGTAGACCTCTGCCAAGGCCGTTAAAAATGAGTGAAAAATCATGCGTGCATCCGCCCCGTGATAAGGATCCAAAATGTAATGGGTTATATAGCGTATTGGCCAATGCTACACCCGTTCGACAAGTCTCATGAAGATTGTGCCTGTAGTTGTTTCAGTAAATGTTGACAAACGCACAGCGAACCAAGCCAAATAAATAACCTCCTTGACAGGGGGAAATATATACTACTGATTCGCTCTTCCCAATATGTTTTGAAGCAAACGTAAAAGGTGCTTCGGGAATGTTCAATGTCAAAATGTTTTCCTTTCCTGAAAAGTCATAGAACAATCAGCGGTTTGCATACTGTTCAGGCTACTTAAACACTTAGTAAGGATAGTTTTAAAGAGTTTGGAGCAAATATACAAGTAAAAAAAGTATTATCAAGGAGCAATATATTTAGTTTAATTTTAACAAATGTGCCCCAGTATATTCTCAATATGTTTGAATAGAATTTGATCCTGGTTATTACATTTCCTGCTATACTTTAGCATATCAAAAGTTAACGTCATTGTAATTTTTAGGCATATTCGTTGCAGACTTGTGACCTTTAAGGCACTTTTATTGCTTTGTTGTGCCCCAAAAAACTCATTTAATTCAAATTCAAAGCTGCACTAAGCAATATATTATTTATAGTTGCTCAAATCCCGATGTACAGTGTGAAATGTGTTACATGTAGTAAGTGGTAATAACTCCAGCCAACTGTATTTAATGCATTTGTAAAAACCTTTTAATTTGGAGTCATTTTTTCCTTATAGTAAAGGTGTTGATTTCCTCGAGCAAACTGGACTTTTGAGTGTTTTGAACAGACTGGTAGTCTTGTTTTGACAAGGCTCAGCTAAGCCATCGAAAAACCCATCTCTCTGTCGCTCAGACCTTCCCTCTGTCCCCGGGGATCGGTCAGAGCCTCAGACCCACTAGGACAGACACGACATTAGGAAATAAACACCCCTGACATTCATTTTCTTTCATCCCTGCTGATGTCCTGCAATTGCCTGAAGAGACTGCGATAGCACTTTGCCTTCGGGTGAAATGAGGAGACAAG